CTTAAACATTGACCTCCAGGATAACTCTGTTATTCTAACAGCTTAAAACATGTCAGTAATACTTCAACACTAACCTCAGTAATAAAGATCCACTGATATAAGCCTTTTCCCGTACATATCAGCCGATACAGATTAAAAATAAAAAGTGCAAATATAGAGCTAAAGTAAACCTGTTGTTTTACTTAAAGAACTGTGTTACACTAAACTCAGTACATCTAAAGAAAAGGAAAAGCTGAAACGATTAACTGATTAATCAATTATTTAAAGAGTCGTCAACTAATTTGGTAATGGAATCGACAAAGATTAATGGTCGTCAGGATCTGAACCCAAAGGAAAACCTACTTACTGTTAATGGAAACTGTCTGTTTATATAGAGATAGACACAGGTTTATGTTTTGCAATTCGTTCAAATGCATAATGAAGATTTTTTCTTTATATATTCAGAATGTTTAGAAATGTAAATTTACAAAAGGCATCTTTGTGAAACCTATATATGTTCCACATTTTCATGTAAAGCATCTCTTTTTCATTCCATAATATTAATAATAATATATTTGCAACAATATAATATAAAAGCTGCACTATAGTTAAAAGTCGTGATATTTTGCAGCTTGGAGAATATGATGTTCTCACCATTAAAAAGAAAAAAACTTTCTACCATTAAAACTCTTTTCCAAAGTAAGGTTTCCAGTTCATCCTTAGTTCAGATCTGACATTTGTCTCAGATGGTGTACAAATCTGTTAATTTTTGTAGAAAAAATGGTGATAGTATATGGTAAAAGGAAAAAATAAGATAAAGGAGTGGAAGTGCGATTTGGAGGGGAGTTATCCTTTATTTCATCTTAAGAAATGTGAACTCATTATCAAGCTTCTTCGATTAAAGTTCAAATTCAAAGCGTGGATCTAATTACAAACATTCCCGTTTATAATTTGACTTGAAATCAAATCCCTGTTAACAGGATTATCCCCCGGTAATCTGGGGCTCTTGGGAGAAGGAGATTGGGGCAGAAATCTGCAGGTGTGAATTCCCCCCTTACCTGTAAATATTCCACTAATAAACAGATAAAACTTTTTTTTCTCCCCCAGCTTTTATTGTCATTATACTGTCAAAAGTACATAGCAATGAAATTAACTCTCTGCATTTAACCCATCCCCTTGGGGAGCAGTGGGCTTCCATTGTGAGGCACCCAGTGAGCAGCGTGGAGTCAAGGCTCTTTGCTCAGGGACCCAGAGTGGCAGACTGTGGGAGTGGAGGTCAAACACAGAACCTCAGGATTCCCAGCTCTATACCAGAGGTGCTCTAGTCCGGTCCTCAAGAGCAACTATCCTACAACTTTTTGATGCTCCTCATTTTTAACACACCTGAAACAAATAATTGGCTCATTGCCATACCTCTGCTCAGCCTTTCGATTCAGGTGTGTTAGAGGAGAGATGCATCTAAGGCTACGTTCACACTGCAGGCCTTAATGCTCAATTCCGATTTTTTTGCGTTGCTGTCCACATTTCCAAATATATGCGACTTGTATGTGATCTCCTGCGTAAACTGCATTCATACAGCTTTTGTGTCCCGCATGGGCAGTAGAGGACGCAATGACGTCACAAACCAGCGTGCCTCATGTTTACGTTAGTAAATATGGATGTAGTGCTGGAGTGCATCTAGCGATCTTTCCAAACCTTAAAACCTCAATCTTTTCAAGATAGTAAAAAAAAAAAAAAAAAAACACTGTTCTCCGCATCATCATCCGCCATGGTGTTTGTTTTTCTTGCCACTTCTGTGTAGCAAGGCGCAGAATAGTGACCTATGTCAGTTTCAGGTCGGATGAATGCGACCTGGCCGTTCAGACAGAGTTCGCATTTGAAAAGATCCGATTCGTATCGGATCCAGGACTATATAGCCAAGCGATCTGGATCTGATCTTTATATATTCTAATATGTAGCCAACATTTGGAAAAAGAATGTTTTCAAGATGACTTGGATAATAGAAGCGTTGCAGGCTCAGACTGGTAATCTGTGACCAGAGGTCTTCACCATTGAAATTCACCAGAGCTATAATTAAGATGACAATGTCCACGTGCATGGCAG